TGACTTCAAGGAAGATAGAGCATTGTGAATCCATCCAGAGATCCCAGACACTTTATTTGGTGATCTGGCCCCTGATTTTGTCAGGATTTACCAGCCATCTCTAATGGCAAAGGCTTGATAATACTGCAGGAAGAGCCATTGAGACTGAGGCTTCTGACTGGCTGACCAAGAGGACTTCATCTAGATAGTGAAAAGTTTGGACAGCAGAGAGTGGAAGCCATCACCCTAAAGCCTAACACACTCACTGGTGTGAAACACCAAAGTACTTTCATTACTCCTGGGACAGCACTGCAAATGTGTATTGAAGGCCTTGCCACGTGAATGCAGCTTGGGCTCAGTTCTTAGTGTCAAGAACTGGGAAAGGTATGAGATATTACCCTACTTGGAATCTAATAGGTGAGCTTGCCACAGTTTCAAGTATGCTGACAGAAGTCATGAGACTCCTGAGTCAGTGATGAAAGTCTTCATTACTCACAGAAAAAGAAAACTGTAGCCAGAGTAGCTTGGCTGAATGTTAAGGAAAAAATTTAAAATAAACTTTCCTGCAAACCCAGGAAATCCTCTCCACAAATGTAGAATAGAAAGAAAACCGTTTTGTTATTAAATAAGCATTAAACCAGACTGCAGTGCACATCACAAGCAATTGGCTAAGGAGATTGCAAAGACAGAAATCTTACCATTTTGTATAGCTGAGCAAATACATGTTCTTAAGATAAATGATAACTTGTCTTCATGCAAGAGGACTTGACAGTGTCATTTTTTCAGCATTCTTTCATAGTTCACCCAGAGTTCACCTGGTATATGGAGTGCCAATCTGTGCAAGTTAATTGGCTTTATCCAAAGGCAAAAATCAAACTTCCCTTGTCTCTATGACAAGCAAGTGGTTACAGCTTGGAGACAGGTGCCTAGCCTAAGCACCCAGGGTGACAGGTAGATAGGGGCCCTATTGTCCTTGATGTTTGTATTTTAAAGAGATGGGTTACAGACCTTTAAGAAAAAAAATTGCTGGGTTGTAATGCTGACAAAAGGTTTATTTAGCCTTTTAAAGATGTATATACATTTCAAAAGGGCAGAGGAAGGATTTACAAATACCAGTATTCTCTAGGAAATGCTCTAAGAAAGGAAAAGAGTCCTCTTTCCCATGTGGCAGCAAGGAAAATTCCTTTCTTTCTATCCTGGACAACAGTGGAAATAAATTGACTTATGTCTGATTCCGCATGCTCTGGTATCCTCAAACTGGAAATTATGTTTGTTAAGAGAACCTTTTATATTGCCTGACAATCAGCTTTTTGAAAAGAGGAAAACTTCAAGCCATCCCGACATCTTACACAACATGATTAGGCAAAACTTTTTATCTCCTACAAGCATTGATTCTATAAAATTCAACTGCCACCAAGTCCTGGTAAAGTTGGTTGGGGAAAACTTCTGGTGCTTACCTTGGGAGTGCCTGAAAAGAATTCTGTTGACAAATAGCACATCTCTTTGATATGTTTGGAATAAGTTCATCTTTTTGGTAGGTGTAGTGAGAGTCTAATGCCTTTAAAAATCCCTCTCTTAGTTGATTTCATTGATGACACAACAATATCAACCAAGCATGTGATGACCCTGGAATAGGAATTATATTGTTAGGGAATTCCCATAGTAGAGTTGAATTTTATTTTTAGCTAGATTCTTAATCCATTTGCCCATTTCCTTTTGGAAAGCATATCTTTTTTTAAAGAATGAAAGTTTCTTTCTGTATTAGGGCTTCTTAGTTGAGTTGGCCACATTTTAAGAATGGCTTTTGCAGATCTTTCAGCAGAATCATTGCCTTTGGAAATGTTGCCATTCTGCCCAGTGTGGGCTCTACAATGTGTTACTGATATCTGAGCAGGCAGCTGTGAAGCCCCTAACAACTCAGATATTAATTTTCCATGAGAAAAAACAATTACTTCCCATTGAAATCAAGAATCCCCTACTTTTCTTTATTTTTATTGAATTTTCAAGGGTGACATTAGCTAATAAAATTATATAGGTTTCAGGTGTACAATTCTATAATCCATCATTTGTGTATTATATTGTGTTTACCACCCCAAGTCAAGTCTCCTTTTATCACCATTTGTCCCCACTTTAACCTCTTTGACCTCCCCTCATCCCCCCACCTTCCCTCTGGTAATCACCATGCAATTGTCTGTATCTGTAAGCTTTTTTCTTAATTTCTTCATCTTTTTTATCCAGCCCTGCAACCCCACTCCCCTCTGACAGCTGTCAGTCTGTTCTCTATTTATGAGCCTGTTTCCATTTTGTTTGTTAGTTTATTTTGTTCATTAGATTCCACATGTGAGTGAAATCATATGGTACTTATCTTTCTGTGACTGGCTTATATTGATCTCCAGGTCCATCCATGCTGTCTCAAAGGGTAAGACTGTCTTCTTTTTGTAGCCAAGTAGTATTCCATTGTGAAAATGTACAACTTTTTTATCCATTCACCTACTGATGGGCACTTGGGCTGCTTTCAAATATTGGCTATTGTAAATAATGCTGCAGTGAACATAGGGGCGCATATATTCTTTTGAATCAGTGATTCGGGTTTCTTTGGACTTATTCCCAGAGGTGGAATCAGTGGGTCATAGGGCAGTTCCATTTTTAATTTTTTGAGTTATTGCCATACTGCTTTCCATAGTGGGCACACCAATCTGCATTCCCACTAACAGTGCATGAGGGAACAGTCCCCTGTTTTTTCAAATTGCCCCCATTACATAACATACTCCAAATATATATATATATACTACCAGGATATGGATTTAGTTTAAGTCCCGAACAAAGAATTGCAGCCCTACGCTGCTATTAACTTGGCTGTTAGTGCTGATTTAATACCAGGCACAATATAGGCTTCCATGATTTCCTGAGCAGTTACTGCAGCATATGCAGCCCCAAGATGACCCTTTTCATCCTAGGTACATTCACTCATCAATAAACATTATCAAATATACTTTTTAAACAGGAATATTGGAAAACTCAGGTTGCTACTTAGTGTCATCTTCTATTACCATTGTACGCTTATGATCATCTACTTGGTCAGGATCTGGTTAAAGAGTAGTACGGTTTAAGAGCTTGAATCTTTCAAGCACAAAACTAGGATTGGATAATAATGTTCATTCATGGTTAGTCAGATGGCATACTGATAAATGCTGAGTCTCATGTACTTGTAAGATAGCTGTCATAGCATGTAAGACATGTAAATAAGTGACTGAAGGTAAGGGCTTGAGCCTTTTCACTAAGTGTGGTGGCTGCCGCCACCACTCACAGGTACCCGGGCAATCCCAGTGCCACAACATCCAGAAGAATTGAGACATGTGCCATTGGTCTATAGTCTAACCCTACCTTTTGAATTCAAATTCCAGTGCCTTTATTTTCATGTCAAAAACAAGGTTTTTCGGAATTGGAATTGCCAAAGCTAGTGGAGAGACGATAGCCAGTTTCAGTTCACAAGCCTCTCAGATTCTAGGGACCACACCCTAGAGGCTCTGGAGAATCATTGAGTGAGTATTCCACCAGAGACTTTGCCCTCTGCAGAAGCTGGACCCCACTGTCTGCAGCATCCTCCTAGCCCCTCAGATTGTCTAAGTTGGTTTTATCCTAGTAGGCTCTCTCATCTGCTAAATTGCAGCCTTCCCTTTGACACCCTAATTATTTTACTTCAGTTTGGCAATATTAGAATTTGTCTAGAGAGCACTCATGCCCTGGTGAAGGAAGGAGTTGTAAGAAAGCCAAAGTACCAACTTTGTATTGCTCTTTAGTTTCAGAAACTACCAGAAAATCACCTATGAGGAATAATTATAGATCTTTCCAGTGGAACAAAAATTCCCTAAGTTTTCCTGTGAATAACTAGAGGAAATAATAGAAGAGTCCTGAAACCCTTAGGGAATCCTTTGCCATGAATACTGGAGTCCTTAATAAATAAAATCAAACAAGAATTTAGACTCATTAGCTAGAGGAACAGGAAAAAAAGAAACAGCACAGACAAGTGACAGAGAAAAACTTAGCAGAGTGCGGTACCAAAATGAGAGTAATTGCAAGGTTAGGAACTACAGGAGTTAATGGAACAACAAATTTATTTACTTCTCTAAGATCCTGTATGAATTGATGTAGTGGCTGTCTATCTTCATCAAATCCATTTCCTTCTTTACTAGAAGTCTGGGAGTATTAGAGGGTGAATGCCTTTTTAAATTAATCTCTGGTTTTTCTAATTTTTTAATGTGCTCTAGGCATGAAACAGCTCTGGCCACCAACACAGGCATCAAGCTAGGGTGGACTAAGGACTGCACATCTGCTTTGCCCCTGGGTGATATAAGAGCAGCACTACCAATCGGGTGTCTCCTTGCCCATTGCCAGGGGATTTGTCCATAAAACAGCCACCAAACGTGCTCAGCCAGCCTGGCTCCACCGAGCAGCCTTCCCATTTGACTTAGGAAATGGTTGGAGGAAGTAATGCTTATTGTCTTTGGGTAGATACCTCTGTTCTTCCAAGGTGGTGGTGGTTGGGGAGCAAACCTTGGTTTTTGGATTGTGCTAATTATTTCTAAAGCAGTCCTTCAGGGAAGGGGAAATAAGCTACACTCTCACCTGCTGTGCCATTTCTTTAGTGGGTGCCAGGACCAATGCCTGGGTGGCCTTTAGATCCAATTCAATCTGTTGTAGAATTGATATGGCAAAAGTGGCTGTTTTTCCTGCCCCAGGTTGGGCTTGAGTGATCACATCATAACCTAGACGAATCAGGAGAAAATTTTGATATGGTAGAGGGCATACACTTCAAGATCATGAAATATTCAAGGCCTTGCAAAGTGAGAACAATAAGCACCCAATAGAGCTGCGTGCCTAGCATAAAGTGCTTCACAGACTTACACTCCAAAACAAAGATAGTATCCCAATGGGAACGGATCTGAAGTCGGATCTGGTTATTAACTCATTTAGTACTTCATTAAGTAGGCTAGAAATACAGATGTAAAGAGCAAGTATGAGCATGTTTCCAGGGCATGAACCAGCTACGGGTGCAGACCAAAATCCAAGTGGGGTAAACAAGGAGTTACTTTACCTCTGGCTGATAAGAGACAGGCACCACCAAACCCGATGCAACTGTACCCAGGTTAGGGATAGTCTAATTCTTTTATAACTGATTTTGTTCCCTCTCAACAAAGGATATTGTTTTACACGTGACCATAGCTTATGTTTTTGGAAAGCTATTTTTTTAATCAATTCAATATCTTGAATTAAACCAGTATCATCATTCTGTAGGGCCCAAAGTGATGCATTGATTTGTTTCATTTTGGGTACTTGTTCAGTTTGGGGGTCACAATGGGAGACTGCCACTCTCTCTCATACTCCTTTTTTTTTCTGAAGGCACATAGTAACCAAAACAGGTGTGTTTTCCCTAGGTAGTGCCACAAGCATTCCATCCAGAGTACAGAATATGGTAGCCTTTATTTTGCACAGCAGGTTTGCAAGCAGATTTCTAGCCAATACGTTTATGGGAGAAAGTAAAAAAGCACGTTCTTCATTAGAGGACCTGTCTTTATGGGAACCATGGAAGAAAAAGAACAAGTAGAAAGCTGACCTGAAATGTCAACAACCGCATCAACCAACCACTACATGGAAAAGGACAAAATTCTGAGGAAATTGCAGAATAAGTAGCACCAGTATTTACTAGAAAAGGCAAGCATAGATTAGCCTGAGGGAAGTTACTGAAAATTGTGGTTCACCAGTTTGCACCTCCAAGATTCTCTCCATCTGTCGATTTTGAGCCATTTGCCTATTATTCCCTAGCTGATGGTTTTGTCCAGGGCCTTCCTGAATCCCTTGCTCCTACAATATGTGTCCCCTGGAGTCTTTCTATCAGCCCTCTTCCAATGAATTGGCTTCTTGAATAATGACCTATAGCCTTCCCATCTACTTTGGCTCCCCTTATATGTTGTCCAGAGTAGGCGCTATTCCCTTAGAAAATAGTTGTAACTGAACAGCCAACACAGTGGTTTTTAATCACTTTTCTTTTTCATCTTTCTCTAGATTTCCCCAAACCTGAGCAGCTGCTGCTAAGATTTTGTTACCAAGTGGAACCTGTTTGGAGGTCCCAGATACTGTTACCGAAACAAGCTCCCTTCCCCGGGATCTCTCTGTACTATGGTTCTTTGCCTGCTGCCCTTAGAAATTATGGCTCTCAATGCCAGTTTGGTGACAAGGAAAGGAACTATTTATTCAAAAGTTATACAGACTTAGAGTTATGGTGGAATGTCACCATTAAATCTTAAAGTCCCTTTAAAACACCCATCAACACACACAGTCCTGCCTTCCCCCATTTGCCCAGTCAGGCCAGTCGGGTACTGTATCTCAGGAAAAGAAGTAGAAGTCTGTAGCTCTGCTAGACTCCCAGTTCCTCCCACTAATCTGTGCTCAGCTGGGCAGGCCTCCCACAGTTCCCAACACCATCAGCTGTCACTGCAATCTCCAGTTCTTAATCCAAAACCACGTGGTACCTCCTCATGGCCCACCAGCAAGAGTCCTTTCATCCTTTTTCTTCCTGCATGGTCTCACATTGTTCCCCCCATGTGTTTCAAACTACTAAGAGAGAGCTCTGCATGGCTGCTACATCTTGCTTTCCTACTTCTTAAGCCGCATGGTCAAGGGAGCCCCCTCTCTGCTCCCAAAACCATGTGGTTAAACCCCAACATGGCTGCTGCACCTGGGTTTCAATCCTGGCACGAATATGCCAGGGGTTTCTCTGTAACCCCATTTCCGATTCCTCCCACAATCGACTACACCTGCTAGCACTCTCTATGTCCTGCCTTTCTTGGCTGCCATAGTTAGTCAGGACAAGCGTGGTCCAGTAACATGGAGTGAACTCTCTCCAAGCTCTCAAGCAGGCACAGTAACCTGGGGAGCTGCCTCCTAGTTCCATCATGGGTTAAAGTTATACCTACCTTTCTGGCCCCACTCAGGCTGGAAGACTAGTCTGCTGTTATAGATATGCAAAATAACCATTTTTGCATATCAGGTATGAAGCTGGCCTGTTATTATTGATATGCAAAATAACCCTCCATGGCCCTGCTCCATGTCTCCATCCCCTAGCCTGGTCTCTGGGGGATATCCTATATTCCTGGACACCCCAAGTTCTGGACCCCTTACAATTTGAGTAATAGTCTGTCCTAGGCTGACACAATATGGATACCAGAGAGTGATTTTTGATCTGCCCTTCCGTCCATGCTGGTAAATTTTGAGAAGATATCAACAAACTGCTGATGGAAATTAACAGGGAACTCACTCTATTCTGGGTACACTGCTTCAATTTCTCCCAATTCACTTTTAGTAGAAAGGATTCAAGTATGGCCATCTGCAGCCCCTTTCAGTGGGTCTCTAAAGCCCTTAGTTCTTCTATAGTTGTCAGGGGCAGTAGATAGTCTTTTGGCCATGAAACCCATGATGCAGTGGGTCATCTTCTGGTCCTGATGTGTCTGCGCAATCAAACAAGCAAAGCCTGCTTGTTGCAGAATTCTGTGCAGCAGCCAGTGAAACCACACTGTCAAGTACTTGTGCAAACTTCTGTGAGTCTTCCCTGGGCACAGGAAAAGAAACCCTTAAGTGAGTAATATGGGTGGACTTGAAGGGCATATAGATATTTACTGTTTCAACTCCCCTCCCCCCAACCCCAGGGAGGTCTGTGTAGCTTCTTAATGGTATCAGCTTTATGAGCCATGTGGCTAGGAAGGGCTAGTCTCTTTTCATTGAATAAAGAAATACATAGAATTAGGTGGCATTTTAGTTTCCTTTCCCATGCTGGTACTTTTCAGGCTAGCACTCTTATTTTTCACTTCCAAGTGATGACTACAACCACTCTCCATTTTCTCATCTTCACATGGGATCACAGACTCTTACCCAAGTTCTCAATTATTCTCTGATAGTGTTGCTTTATCATCTCTGCTTTCTTAGTTATGTGATATGTGGATGTGGATGAAAAGGAGACTTTTGGAGGTAAGCAGGAAGTTGAATCAGAGTGTGAGGGTAAAAAAAAAATCTTTCTTCCCACCTTCTAAGTTCTTATAGCTGGGCTAATAGTCAAATTGACATGAGACAGATTAACAGGAGAAAATGTTTAATGTTTATTATGGATGTACATGTGGGGATGCCATAAGAATATAAGACTGAAGGAGTCATTGGGCAGTTGAGGCTTATGTGCCATTTTGGGCTAAGGAGAGGGAGGCAGGGGTCTGGTATTTTTTTAAAAAATCTCTTTGGTGTGATCTTTACAGAGGCTACTACATGCAGTTATAACCATAGGCATGTATATGTACAGATATAGAGTGGTGCTTTGCGGTTGTTCTTTACATAAATTAGATCACACTAATTCTTGTTCTGCAACTTGCATTTGTCACTTACCAATCCACCTGGGAGATTTTTTTAATTTAAATTATATTTTATTTATACCATTACAGTTGTCCCAATTTTCCACTTTACAGCCCTACACCCAGAACCCCTACTCCCTCAGGCAATCCCTACACCATTATTCATGTCCATGGGTCATGTGTATAAGTTCTTTGGCTACTCCATTTCCTATACTGTATTTTACATCCCCATGGCTATTCTGTAACTATCTATTTGTTCTTCTTAATCCCTTCACCTCTTCACCCATTCCCCCACACCCCCCTCCTATCTGGAAAGCATCCAAATGCTCTCCATATCCATGATTCTGTCTCTGTTCTTCTTGTTTTCTTAGCTTGTTTTTTAGATTCAGCTGTTGATATATATGTATTTATTGCCATTTTATTGTTCACAATTTTGTTCTTGTTCTTCTTGTTCTTCTTCTTCTTCAAGAAGACCCTTCAACATTTCATGTAATACTGGTTTGGTGGTGATGGACTCCTTTAGCTTTTTCTTGTCTGGGAAGCTCTTCATCTGTCCTTCAATTCTAAATGATAGCTTTGCTGGGTAGAGTAATCTTGGCCATAGATCCCTCCTTTTCATGACTTTGATTATTTTTTGCCAATCCCTTCTAGCCTGCTAAGTTTCTTTTGAGAAATCAGTTGACAGTCTTACGGGAACCCCCCTGTAGATAACTAACTGGTTTTCTCTTGCTGCTTTTAAGATTCTCTCTTTATCTTTAACCTTTAGCATTTTAATTATGGTCTCTCTTAGTGTGGGCCTCTTTGTTTGGGACTCTCTGCTGCTTCCTGGACTTGCATGTCTATTTCCTTCACCAAGTTAGGGAAGTTTTCTTTCACTATTTTTTCAAACAGATTTCCAATTTCTTGCTCTTTCTCTTCTTCTGAGACCCCTATGATGCGAATGTTGGAATGCTTGAAGTTGTCCCAGAGGTTGCTTACACTATCCTTGTTTGTTTGTTTGTTTGTTTGCTTTTGGATTTTTTTTTCTTCTTGTTGTTCTGCATGGTGGTTTTATGTTTCCTTATGTTCCAAATCATTGATTTGATTCTTGGCTTCATCCACTCTACTGTTGTTTCCCTGTAAATTGTTCTTTATTTCAATTAATGTATCCTTTGTTTCTGACTGGTTCTTTTTTATGCTGTTGAGGTTCTCCCTAAGTTCCTTGAGCATCTTATAACCAGTGTTTTGAACTCTGCATCTGATAGATTGCTTATCTCCATTTCGTTTAGTTCTTTTTCTGGAGTTTTGATCTGTTCTTTCATTTGGGCCATGTTTCTTTGTCTAATCATTTTGGCAGCCTTCCTGTGTTTGTTTCTATTTATTAGGTAGAGCTGCTTCGACTCCCTGTCTTGGCAGTATGGCCTAATGTTGTAGGTGTCCTGTAGGGTTCAGTGGCACAGCCTCCCCTATCACCCAAGCTGGGTAGTTGAGGAGCATCCTTCACATGGGCTGAGTACATCCTCCTCTTGTAGTTGAGCTTTGATTGCTGTTGGCAGGTCAACAGGAGGGATTTACCCCCAGGCCGATCAGCTGCAAGGACTGGCTATAACAACTGACCACCAACCTCCAATCACCGTGGAGGATCAGCTGTGCAAGGGCCCATTCCACAGAGCAGGATTTACTTCAGCAGGGCCTTGGTGCCCGCTGAGTCCACCCTTTGAGCGTGTTTCTTGTGGAGGTGCTTGGGTGGGGGCGCTCCAACATGGTCTTTAGCTGTTCACTGG